ACTTGTCTTGTTTGGATCACCTCCCCCCCTTAAAAAAAAAAAAACAAAAACTGAAGCGTTAAACCACAAAAATCTTCTCCACTTTTCGCTCTTCACCCCCCTCTACAGCCCCCCTCTTCTGGCTTCTTCTTTTCCGTTTTCCGCTTTGCCTGCCATTTCGTGGAGTCTGCGGCATTGTCTTCCAATTGGAAGTCGCCATTTTCCACCCACCTAGTGACTCCCCCTCTTTTCCACCCACCCCCACCACCTCTAAGCTCTGTAATTTTCAAGTTCAAATGTAAAGTAAATTGCAAATTGGGGCTTTTTTTGTCGTCTCCCCCCTTTTTTTTTGCTCATCTCGAGATTAGATCATCGCCTCTGAAGTGGTGAGCTAAGCGCGGGCGTTTTGCGCCGATAGAGATGGCTCTGGGGGCTCTGGGGTCTTGGGAGGACGGTGGGTGGGTGGTTGGTTGGTTGGTTCGTGGTGCTATTAGAAGTAAACACATAAATTCTTGAGACGAGATGACAGCATTTTAGTGTCTGGCGACCCACAAATTGTCAAGTGGGTGCGGTTTTTGGAAATAAACAAGAATTATTCATAAATCTCTTGAGAATTCTACAACTTTAGAAAGAATTGGCCTTTTGAATAAGTTAGAGATTTAAGATTTAGAATTTGTGGAAAATACTTAAAAGACTATTATTCTTTTATTTTTAAAACCTATTGTAAAAGCTATTTTTAAACTATTTCTATAAGGAGCATATTCTTTAAAATAAAGCTTAAAAACTTGTATTTTTTACTTAATTTTTCCAATTAATTTTAACAATTTTTGTTAATTAATTTTATCACCAAAATTAAAACCTCTAAGAAGATTCACTGCCAAGAATTGTGTAGAGGTATTTAGGCCATTTGATTTTTGTTACCAAATTCCAATGAAACCTGTTTTTTCTTCTCTCATAACATAATAAACCGCTTAAATGGCTTTAAAAAAATGGCTTATAAAAAACGGTTGTCAGGTAATTTTTTATAGACTTTAGATTTTTAGTAAATACCTTTTAAAAGTTAAGATTTTAAATTGACATATAAAAAATTAGCAAAGATGGGAATAGTGTTTCTTTTTTTAGAGGTTTTAAAGGTATATAATATATTCTACCATTAAATACATGAATTATAATAGTAATAAATTTATTAAAAACATTAATAGATCTCTATCCATTAGAGATAGTTTCCTAGAGATTAAAAAACATATCAAGACCCAAAAGACACTAAAAACCATATGAGACAAATGACTTTAAAAAAACCCACAAAAACACAATGATATTTGAACTCGCAGTAGCATTTTTGAATGCATTTCAGCTTCATAACCAAGGGGTGGTCTGGGGAGCCTCGCAGATGCAGTTGATGAGGTAATTCCCCCAACGATTCCAATTTGAATCTGGGGTCCCACGGTGCTGCAACTCCCCCACCATGAAATGACAAGAGGGGGGAATCAAAAATACACCTGTAATCTCTGTACAGATTCGATTCGTTAAAGGTATTTGATCCGCAACCGATGGCATTATGTTGACCAATCCCAGGAGGGGGGACTCTTCAAAATTTGTCAGCGAGCTTAGGGGCTTAATTTAAGCATTTCTTTCGGCCTATTACCTCATCATCATCACTGATTCCCTCTGCTACTTTGGCTTTCTCATGCAAATCTTGTCCCCCCAGAGACTTGTTGGGTATTAATAAAGTTAAACATTTTACGATCAATTTGGAGATGGTCATTGATTCGCTTTTTTTATTTAATTATGTAAATTAATTCCATTCTGAATTAAAAAACAAAAAAAAAAAACAAACAGAGAAACAAAAGATTTTGTAAGCAAGTGCAGCAATCGTGTGTGTCAAATATAATTGCACTTGGTTTTAATTTTTTTTTTTTTGGATTTCTGTAGCTTTTGTTAGCCAAAAAAAATGGAAAAAAAAAATCCATTGCAATTGCAGTTGAACAACTTTACGCTCCATTCAGCATTAAAATTACTTTGTGCCACTTTCAAAGCTATTTCTGCCACAAAAGCAACTGTTTCTTCTTCTTCAACGGCCAACGTCTGCTTCTTCTTTTTCCAGCCAACTTGATTGTTTTTTTTTTTAAGCCATTTTTTTAAGCCTTATTTTTTTTTTGCAATAATTTAGATTGCCTCCGTTGCAATGGTTAGTGTCCAGGTGTAACAGGTGGGATTAGTGCGGGGGGGATACCACTCTGCTTTTGTTCGAAAAAATGTCAAGAAAGTCACGAATGTCACGCATCACAAGTAGAACAGAAAAACCATAAAAAAAGGTTCAGTGGAATTAAGATAAGAAAAGAAAATCAATCACTTGGAACCAAGGGAAATTAAGTTTTCAAACTAAAGTAATATTTCAAAATTAATTTAGAGTCTTGCGAACAAAAAATTAAAAGTTAAGAGAACCCCTCAAATCATCTCTTGAATTTTAATTAGCTTATAGCCTCCATAGCTCATAATTATTTTTTTTACACATTAAAATCTATTATAAACCATTATAATAATGGAATATCAATTGCCTCAGAATCATCTAACGAACTTTGATCAAAATAATAGTACCTGCCTCACCCCCGACCATTGTCTGTCATAAACAATAGAAATATAATAATTTTTATGGCGTTTATCAAACATTAACACCTGCCATAGGTCTATCTATATATACCTGATATACCTCCCAGCACTTTCAATATAATTGCCAAAGGAAATCCATTTAATAAAAATAAAATATTTGAAATAATTGTTTCGTTTTCTGGCGCTTTCCTTTCTTGGCTTCGGCCGGGGCTTTGGTATTTTTGGTATGGGGTGATCTGCGTATGCCCCAGGAATTTTAATCATATTTCTCTCTATTTTTTTTTCCATACACTCTTAATTGTTTATTTTTTTTTTTTTTGAAATGTGTGAGTGTGGTTTTGGTATTTCTCATTTGGCTTTGCCAGGTTCCCCTCTCCAAGCCACATGGAGGCCAATTTCGGTTTTCATTTCGATTCGATTAACGAAACGAGTTGGCCAAGAAGGCGGTTTTAAACCGAAGTGGGAGATACTCTAGGGTGGGGTTATACAAGAATTATATTTATAGCTTTATTCTATATTAAGAAAAAATATTTAAGAAGAAGGGATAAGTACTGGGTATCTTATAGCTTAGAAATAATCATATAATTTTATAAATACTATATGATATCCGGTACTATTGCTGTCCTTAATCTTTAATATTATTTTTTCTTTAAAAAATATAAAACCCTTTAAATTTTTTATACTCCTTTCAAAATAAAAGAGTAAAACTTTTATTGCAGCTAATTTTTGGCTTAATTTTCGGTTTTGGATTGTAAATATTTCTTATGATTGGATTGGTTACCGATCCAGGGGTAGGAGGAGAGTTCGGGGCTCGAATCGATTCCGGGCTTTTGCCAGCCACTCAAGCGTCCTACTTGCTATTGTTGTTGTTGTTGCTCTTTCCGCCAATTATTATGGCCAAGAGTTGGTCCGTCCTCGGCCGTCCAAAGTCGTTTGTTGTTTAGTTGTTTGTCGTTATGTGCAAATTGTTGCCTATTTTTTTTTTTTACTTTTCTTTTAAATGCAGTCTTTACTTTTTTTTTGTTTTTGCAGCAATTTCACTTTTGTGTTTGCCTTTTGGCGGGTTTGCAGGTTCGATTGAAGGATCAGGGTTATTTGAACCTCACAAAAAAGCGACAACTTTCTCTAGGATGTAAACATCAAATGATCTACAACAAGATCATGTTCATGTCCAAATTGAGATACATTTTCTGAAGAAACAACCACACCCGACTGGCAAAAAAAAAAGGCCAAAAGGCAAAAAAGAAACAAGTGGAAAATAAATAGAGATACAAGATACAAGATACTCTGGAGTCCGGACCACAAAGCATCTTCAGGTTACACATGAGTATCTCCAGGTGTGTTAGGTAGCCCAAGCCCAAGCCCATGCCCATGCCCCTTCGTTCTTGGCTCTCACTCTCTTGGCCCCTTCTAATGCCATTCACTTGAACGTTGAGTCGTAAAAAAAAAATTAAAGAACCACAAAGTAAAGTGAAATACGGGCTGTTAAGAGAAGGTATTTGAAGAACGAATGCCAGATGCCCTAGGGAAGCTGGGGGAGAGATAGCAGAGTCTTTACTTCTCTTAATAATTCTTAAAGTTTTCTACCATATCTACCATACCTTTGAAAGGGTATTACCTTTCTTTCCACAACCCCAAAGTCACGTAAACCCCAGTTAAGTAAAATAAAGTCAAATGAAGTCAAAAGACTCTTGGCATGAAGAGCTCTTTGATGTCTAAATTGCAGATGAGACGAGAATACAAAAGTATATCCAGGAATCCCTTAGGTTTAAGAACAATGACCTAAAATCATGCCTGGAATTCTCAAACATAAATTATTAAAGACAAAGGATATTGTCAGAGGAATACAAATATTTAAATTAGAACAGTATCCCGTTTTGACCTTGTCTTTGTGCCTGAATAAGAAAATATGTCACTTTGCATTCCATTCAAGCCACACAATCTGCCTTAAAGTTCCATTCATTTAAAGAATGTTCAGATCATGCTTGTTTTCGCATAATTATATCTCAAGTTTTATTGTCTCTTGACGGTTGTTTCTTCTGTTTTTTTTTTTTTAAATGGAGATTGATGTCTTTCAAGCGATTCGGCACGAGCGGCAAGATCTCTTAAAGATCTCACAGATCACAGATCTGTGATTAAAGCCAAGAATGCTAATTAGCAAATACCAACTAGAAGGGGTGGGAGGTAGGTAGGTGGCCTGGGTGGGTGGTGGTTGGTCTTACCAATCGATAGCTTCAAGACCTTTTATTTATTTTTTTCTATTTTTTCTACCTTTTTGAAAGCCAAACTCTGACATTGAGTTAAGCTTTTAGACCCGTTTGGTTTTCAAAAACTAGTCTCAGGGACCATAACTTACTCGCTTAACTATCGTATTAGTATAGTTTAGATAGTAACTAAAGATAGTGGCTCACCTTTTATTTAAGTTCCAATTTTAAATTCAAATTTATTGTTAGTTTCTGGTTGCTGGCTAAAAATATAAAAAACTATGTTATATAAACCATAAAAAAATGTTAAAAAAAAATAGAAATATTTATTCCAAACACGCGACGTTAATTTTTTTGGTTATAGATTTCGATTTCTGTTTAAGTTTCGGTTTTCGATTTTTGGTTTCGGTTTTGGTTTACCAATTTCACGCACAGTTTGGCCAAAAAGCCCAGCCAGTTTCAGGATTGTATCTGAGACAGAGAGGTCCGCTATAGCTCTCTCTCTCTTGCTACTCGTTTTCCGATTTCTACAATTCTTTTCTTCTCTCCGACCAGCGACGTCTTTGTAGCCTGAGCTCGAACCGAAGACTGAGGCTTGATTTTCGGTTCGTGGCTCGCTTCACAGATCGCACGTCTGGCCGGCCCGAAGTCGAGCCGAAGATCGTGCGTGCGATCACCTACCACCTCTCCGACCGCCACCCACCTCCCCTCTCAAACCCATTCAGGCCCCCCACTGGGGTGTATATCTGGTAGATACAATACGATGCCTTCAAGTCGATCGGTTCGGCAGGCGACAAAATGTCAAAAGTGCGCCGCCAACTGGAGGATCCACAGCTCCGGCAGTTGAAACTGGTTTTCGGCTTTACAGTTTTGACCTGAATGGCTGGCTGGTCCTACAGGGTTTCGAGAGGGTTTTATGAAAGGTCCTCAACCTGGGATATTAACAAGGTCACAGGGGAAGGCTGGGAAAGGTAGAACATTAAGCTTAAAATTATCACTAAGATTGTGTTTCAGGTTTTTGAAAAGTATCTAGTTTTTAGAAAGGACCTAGACTTTAAAATATATATCTTTAAATCTTTAAATATATCTAAAGCTCTAAGAAAAATGGGATTTATGTGGGATAATATTTAATATATGTATTTTAAAAATTAAAGATTATATTAGGCTATAAAAGAACCTAAGAATAGTATATTAAATACAATAAACTAGTACTATGTTAAATAATATCATAAACCAATAAACTATGCTTATAGATTTCCTTCTTAAAACCCAAATTAATTAAAATTCTTTTTTAAGCTCCAATTACTAAAAGAAAACTCTTTAAAATAATTATCAAAAAATTCCAAAAAACAATTTTCTGTCATTTTCCAAATGCCAGTTCTTGCCACTCCCGTTGCAGCATCGATAATGGCACCTTTCTCTGCCAATTTCCCATTTTCCGTTTGTCCCAATTTTGCCACAAGTCCGCTCTAATTGTGGCTCTAACTGGTCATGCGACTCCTGTAAGCCAATTCAGCTTATGGCCAATACTCAGAACCCAAGTGCTATTTGCCAATGGAATGCAGAAAATTGGGAAAACGGGAATGGAAATGGGAATGATGATGATAGTAGAATGGAAATGCCAGCGACCACGTTTTTTTAAAGAGGTGACAAGATCCCATTTACTATATACGTATATACTCCATCATATACTATGTATATATAAGGAATATCTTTTATGAAAAACCTGCAAGTCGAGAAAAACTTTCTGCAAGGCAGGAGAGTCGAGGGGAGGGGCGGGCGACTCTTTGTTGGTTCCAATTGGAATTGGCCAAGTTGACCAAAAACCTGTTGACGCTTTAAGGAAAAGCTTCAGCTAAATTCAAGTGAGAAAAATGCACAAGAAAAAATATTTTCCTATAACTAGAAATTCAAAAAAACCTTTCAGAAATTGTTACTTTTCTAAAAAAATATCCAAGCCAAATAAATTTTTGAAATTTTGACAAAAATACTAGCTCTGATTTCTTTTTGTGTTTTTAAAAACCAATAGACTTCCCCTGTACCCCCCTCCATCCCACTGTTCCCTTCAATTTTTGGAGTGGAAAAGAGAGGGAAGAGATCTCTGGCACAGGAGCTACCATTTCGGCCAAGTCACTGCTCGAGGAAAAACAAGAAACGAGTTTTTCCAGTAGAGGCTGCTCGGATGCGGAATCTGGCTCATCTGCAGCTGCTCAGGCATCTCTTTGGGGGATTCGGGGAAAAGCGGAGACACGGGCGTAGAAAGGCTGCGGCAGAGAGCGCGTAGACCAGAGAAGTTGTCAAGAATCTCGAGGCGAATCGATCAATAACCTTTCCATCAAGCCCACTGAAGGGCAACGACGACAAATCGGAATGTTCTCAAAAGAAACGATCCCTGCCAAGACTACCATAAATCTTGAGAAATATCCATCTTATTCCCAAGCGGAGTACCTTAAACGATTTCTAGTTAAATTCCCCATCAATTTGCATCAAAACCTGAGAACAAAATATTTTTTGGAATTTTTTCAAATTTTTCCAGGGGTATCCCTGCGAAATCCTGAATTTCCATATTCGACCCCTATCGAAGGCTTTATCTCTGGAAATTCTTATCCGATTCTCAAGCGGAGTACCTTAATCGATTTCTAGATCGATTCTCCGTCAATTTGCATCAAAACCTGAGAAAAAATATTTTTAAGATTTTTTTCAAATTTTTCCAGGGGTATCCCTGCGAAATCCTGATTTTCCATATGTGACCCCTGTCGATGGCTATATCTCTGGCAATTCTTATCCGATTCTCAAGCGGAGTACCTTAAACGATTTCTAGATCAATTCTCCGTCAATTTGCATCAAAACCTGAGAACAAAATATTTTTTAGATTTTTTCAAATTTTTCCAGGGGTATCCCTGCGAAATCCTGATTTTCCATATGTGACCCCTGTCGATGGCTATATCTCTGGCAATTCTTATCCGATTCTCAAGCGGAGTACCTTAAACGATTTCTAGATCAATTCTCCGTCAATTTGCATCAAAACCTGAGAACAAAATATTTTTTAGATTTTTTCAAATTTTTCCAGGGGTATCCCTGCGAAGTCCTGATTTTCCATATGTGACCCCTGTCGATGGCTATATCTCTGGCAATTCTTATCCGATTCTCAAGCGGAGTACCTTAAACGATTTCTAGATCAATTCTCCGTCAATTTGCATCAAAACCTGAGAACAAAATATTTTTTAGATTTTTTTCAAATTTTTCCAGGGGTATCCCTGCGAAATCCTGATTTTCCATATGTGACCCCTGTCGATGGCTATATCTCTGGCAATTCTTATCCGATTCTCAAGCGGAGTACCTTAATCGATTTCTAGATCGATTCTCCGTCAATTTGCTTCAAAACCTGAGAACAAAATATTTTTTAGATTTTTTTCAAATTTTTCCAGGGGTATCCCTGCGAAATCCTGATTTTCCATATGTGACCCCTGTCGATGGCTATATCTCTGGCAATTCTTATCCGATTCTCAAGCGGAGTACCTTAAACGATTTCTAGATCAATTCCCCGTCGATTTGCATCAAAACCTGAGAACGAAATATTTTTTAGATTTTTTTCAAATTTTTCCAGGGGTATCCCTGCGAAGTCCTGATTTTCCATATGTGACCCCTGTCGATGGCTATATCTCTGGCAATTCTTATCCGATTCTCAAGCGGAGTACCTTAAACGATTTCTAGATCAATTCTCCGTCAATTTGCATCAAAACCTGAGAACAAAATATTTTTTAGATTTTTTTCAAATTTTTCCAGGGGTATCCCTGCGAAATCCTGATTTTCCATATATGACCCCTGTCGATGGCTATATCTCTGGCAATTCTTATCCGATTCTCAAGCGGAGTACCTTAAACGATTTCTAGATCGATTCTCCGTCAATTTGCATCAAAACCTGAGAACAAAATATTTTTTAGATTTTTTTCAAATTTTTCTAGGGGTATCCCTACGAAATCCTGATTTTCCATATGTGACCCCTGTCGATGGATATATCTCTGGCAATTCTTATCCGATTCTCAAGCGGAGCACCTTGAACGATTTCTAGATCTATTCTCCGTCAATTTGCATCAAAACCTGAGAACAAAATATTTTTTTGATTTTTTCAAATTTTTCTAGGGGTATCCCTACGAAATCCTGATTTTCCATATGTGACCCCTGTCGATGGATATATCTCTGGCAATTCTTATCCGATTCTCAAGCGGAGCACCTTGAACGATTTCTAGATCTATTCTCCGTCAATTTGCATCAAAACCTGAGAACAAAATATTTTTTTGATTTTTTCAAATTTTTCTAGGGGTATCCCTACGAAATCCTGATTTTCCATATGTGACCCCTGTCGATGGATATATCTCTGGCAATTCTTATCCGATTCTCAAGCGGAGCACCTTGAACGATTTCTAGATCTATTCTCCGTCAATTTGCATCAAAACCTGAGAACAAAATATTTTTTTGATTTTTTTCAAATTTTTCTAGGGGTATCCCTACGAAATCCTGATTTTCCATATGTGACCCCTGTCGATGGATATATCTCTGGCAATTCTTATCCGATTCTCAAGCGGAGTACCTTAAACGATTTCTAGATCGATTCTCCGTCAATTTGCATCAAAACCTGAGAACAAAATATATTATTTTTTTTTTTCAAAACTCAGTATCTCTTTGAAATCCTGATGTCCATATCTTGGGAAATTTTTATCCGATTCTCAGGCGGAGTTCATGTGGCTATATCTTTACAATTCGGATGCAAATCTTAAATCACTTCCTTAACCATAATTCCTACTGCAAATGAGGCTGGAATCGAAGCATTTCAAAGAAAGTGCTCGATCGGGAATATCGGGGATCGGGGGAGAGCTCGGAGGAAAGCATAAAATTGCTTGTAAATATCTTTCACCCATTGCAAAAGTGGTTTTGGCATTTTGGAACACGTTCGCTTGTTGTTTTTACCTTTTTTTTAACTTGTTTACATTTTTTACCAGCCAATACCCCCAATGGTTAGAGGGAGACGGGGTAGAGAGCCCCCTAACTGGTTTTCTTTAGCAAATATGTGGGCATGGTCATTATTAATTTTTGCGAAAAACCAGCAGCTCTGGATGGTTTAAGGAAGAGGAGTTGTGGGAAAAGTATTTTGTTTACAATTTAAAAAATAAATATTCCTACTGGAATATTTTAAAAACAGACACATTTAACACTTTTATACTTTAGTCACAGCTTGTTGTTTATTTATTTAAATTTTTTCACATTTTTTAATGCATTCCACACTTTATTCACTTAATTTGCAGTTAAAAAAAAAAATTCTTTAAAAAAATTAAGGAAATCCTTTGGATGTGGCTACCAAGATCCTGCATAGGCATTGGCTGAGGCCTTGGCATAGGCACCACTGCCTCCTCCAACACCTCCGGCTCCTGCCCAGCTATTGGCACTACTACTGGCCCAGGATCCGGCACCGCCTCCTCCTCCGCCGCCGCCGCCCCACTGGGGTCCTCCGCCACCACCACCACCATGGTAGCCACCTCCACCACCACCGGGGTATCCTCCTCCGCCGCCGCCATGGTAGCCACCGCCTCCGCCGCCTCCATAGCCGCCTCCTCCACCGCCGCCCCATCTGTGGCCACCACCTCCTCCGCTGCTGTAGACAGGTTTCACGACGTAGATGTCAATGGTTTTTCCGCCACCACCGCCGCCATGATATCCTCCTCCACCACCGCCATAGTTTCCACCTCCACCGCCGCCATGATATCCTCCTCCGCCGTTGTAACCGCCGCCGCCGCCGTGATAGCCGCCTCCACCGCCCTGGTAACCGCCTCCTCCGCCGCCACCCCAGCCGAATCCGCCGCCACCGCCTCCTCCCCAACCGCCGCCGCCGCCTCCGCCGAACAGAAGCTTCTTCTTGAGGGCCAACAGGGAGGGCGTGGCTCTATCCACACAACTGGCCAGGACCAGGAGGCTCAAGGCATACAAAGGCCAGTGTTTCATGGTGAAAACTTTTAAAACTTTTTAGTTCCGGTTCGGGTTTAATGTAATCCTCCTTTTTTGTGTTTTATAGATTCGTTCTAACTAGTTCCAGAGCTGGGGTCCAACTAATCATCGGCTGGTGAAGTGCATTTCGTTTTATAAGAGCTCCATTGTTTGTGGCGGATGAGCAAATGTCGTCATCGATGTGGAATCGGAATCGGATTCTCTCAGGCGATCGGGGGAGTTACTTATACAAAAATAACGTAGTCGACGAATATTAAACATTAATTACTCAATGGGTCACTAAATGAGGTCCATAGGGTTACAAGATGCTCTAATCTATAACTTTAATCTATACGATAAGAACTCATATAGAATAATATCCCTCATACGCCCCTTAAGCCAAGCAAGTAATTGCTTTTGTGGTTTATAGTATCTAATATGGTTTTGTGGTTAACCCCAGAACAGTAGCTAAAAATTTAAATATTTTGCTCGTAATATATTTAATTTTAATTACCAAATAGTGCTTAAAAACATAAATCATAGGCCATGTACTTCCGGGTATTCACAGCACCCTCATACCCTTAGTTAGAGCATCAGCAATTATATGCATGACATTTACTGGAAAATCCCTGTTACTCATCTGCCCGATGGGCGGGAATACTACTGGACACTATACTGTTGTACTATTTTCAAATAAAAGTTATAAAATAAATCAAAATAAGAGGAGATATAATCAGAACTAGATTTTAAACAGAAATAAAAATCTGGCATTAGATAAATCTTTATAAAAAGTGAAACTAGAAAACCTGTAATTAAATATGTAAATGTCAGAGAGTCGAGATAAGAGTATAGAAAATTCGTTTAAAAAGAGGAGAAAATGCATTCGATTTGGTGGATTGATTATTTAGTATGTGGGAACGATTCGCATAACTTTATTTTGTTCAAAAATAACCGAGAAAATTCCCCTTGAAATAAAATTGTTGCCTGAAGGAAGTCCCAAATGGAAAAGCGGATGTTTTGTGGATTTTTTTTAGATTTTCCTTCCATTATAGAAAATTTAGGGTAATTTTAGAGGGTTTTCCTATTTGCTTGGGGGATTTTCTTACTAGTAACGAGTAACTAGCAACCAGTGACTAGTAACCAGTAACTAGTCACCAGAATCTAATAACTAGTAACTAGTTAAAATAAAACTCATAATTATTTTGATTTGCAAGAAAAAAATTTGTTTTTATTTAAATTAACAAGAAAATGAACAAAAAATTAATTCTTCTAGTGAATTACACTGGAAGAAAATAGGATAGAGCAAAAGCAAAGACACGAGAAAGTTAAAGAAGAGTATTCGATTGTTTTTTGGTTAGGAGGTGAGTATTCCTTTTGGAGATTCTAATCGGAAATACTGCATCATTTTTATGTATCCGGAGGGCAGTCAGTGGAGTATTCATTGGTTTGTACGAAGATCTCTTGGGGATTAGGGATGTGGGGCTTCTAGGATTTACCAACCGCCTCCATGCTTGCCACCGCCACCACCACCGCCGCCTCCGTGCTTGCCACCTCCACCGCCGCCGCCACCGTGCTTGCCACCGCCTCCGTTTCCGCCACCACCGCCGCCTCCATGCTTGCCACCGCCACCGTTTCCGCCGCCGCCGCCTCCTCCATTCTTCTGCCAGCCTCCCTGACCGCCGCCTCCGCCGCCGCCGCCGCCTCCTCCGTTCTTCTGCCATCCTCCTTGGCCGCCGCCGCCGCCTCCCTTGCCGCCGCCACCACCGCCTCCTCCGTTCTTCTGCCAGCCGCCTTGGCCGCCACCGCCGCCGCCGCCTCCTTGTCCTCCGGCGGACACAATGGCGAAGATCACTCCGAAGAGGAAGAGAGCTAGCAGAGCAAAGCGCATGTTGCTGGAAAGGATTACTGGAGCTGGAAGCTGGTAGCTGGAAACTGTAACTATGACTGGAACTGTCTCCGCAGAAACTGATGCTCTAAACCGAATCACAGCCGGGCTTATATACCCAGAAATCCTGGGTTATAGCCAAGTCATGCTGCCGTCGTGGAGCATAGGAAGCCTCCAAAGCATCCCACCTCCAATGCCAAAAGTGCAGCCAGTGTGATCTTGATCTTGAGATGCCAAGACGGCAACCCACCAGATCTCTGCACTTGTGCCGGTTGTGGGTCATTAATTATGCGGTGGTGCAGCGGGTTTTGTCATTTATCATGCAATTTGTTTGTTCAGTTCTTAGCGGTAACTCTTAATTCTAGGGTATTTCTTATAGAAGTTATAATTTCTATAAGGCATATAGTCAATTTGTAATTTATTTAAAAAAAATTCTATATATAATGTTGAAGTTTTTCGTCCTTTATTAACATAACCTAATAATAATAACCAGTAACGAGTAACTAGTAACTAGAAACTAGTAATTAATAATAAATAACGAGTAATCAGTAACTAATAACTAGTAATTCAACCTTTTCCTTTATAACAAAACATAACCCTTTAAACCATGACCTCTATGAATATTATTACAGGGTATATTATTTTTTAAAAACCCCTTTTCAAAGAACGACCTTGAAAGCCCCTTGGCAACAGCACTAGTTCAAACCTAGTGAAGAGAAAGTCGCACAACTAGGCAAATGATATATCCAGAAGTCGGGGGAGTATGGCAACAAACATAAAAACAAATAGAACGTTCGTCTCGAGTGCCAGGCACTTAAATTGAAGTAATTCCACGTGACCTTAGAACCCAGCCTACCATATCAAACAGAAGTTCCATTAATCACCTTAATGCTTAACTATAATGGTATTTTCACAAAAAGTTAACCTGCTGAGATGGTAAATTAAAGGGTCTCTTTATTTTTAAATAAAAAGTGTAATTTTAAAATTCAGATTATGGGTTTTTAAAAGATTTAAATATTTAAGCAATTATCTAAATGACTTTTCGAAAGTTTAACAAAAAATTTATAAAAGCTTTTTCGAACTTAAAAGTCTGTTTTTGGCCAACTTGAGCTTGGCAACTGACCAAGTCTTTTACGCTTAAAACTGGTTTATGGTAAAGTTAAAATTTCGAATAAAATTGCAGCATACTTTTGGGTTAAGTATAAACTTTGAACATGGCTCACCCTAAAAATTATGCCTTAAGTAAAGTATGTTTATGTTTCAAATAAAAAAATCTGTTTCATTTAAAATTTAACCTACTGTACAAAAAAAAACACGCACATTTACAGCGTGAAGTTATTGAAGTTTTTAAAATAAACTACGTTTTCTATCATTTTTCAAAGAAAACATGTTGGTTTACAAATTAAACATAAACTTAAATATGTTAACTTGTATATTTCCATTTTCTTACTTTAAAGGCGTTATAAAGCCAAAAGGCAATAAAAAGTCAAATTTTGCGGATTTTTTGCATATAATATCATTGCCGAAACTTTACTAATTTGGTTGAAATAAAAAAAAAAAAAAAAAAATAAAATAAAATAAAATAATAAAAATAATTAATTAAAAAACAGCGCCCTCCTCCTCGATTCTCATAGGTTGCACTTAAGCTAGCCTGAAAATTCGGAAAAATAGTTTGATTTTTTTAAAGTGTTTATTTTTTCAGGTGAGTTGTTGTAATATTTGGTGGTGGTTGTTGTTTTCTTGTAACTTATTGTTGCTGTAATTTGTTGTTGTTGTAATTTGTTGTTGTTGTAGTTTGTTGTTGTAATTTTTTGTTGTTGTTGTAATTTGTTGTTGTTGTAATTTGTTGTTGTTGTAATTTTATTTTGTTGTAATTTTTGTTGTTGTAATTTTTTTTGTTGTAATTTTTTTTGTTGTAATTTTTTTTTTGTAATTTTTTTTTTCTAATAAATAAGTGTTATCCAATATTAAATTTTTAATAAAAATTGTTAATTATTTCACTCTAAACGTGGCGAATAACGTATCGGGATAGCTATAGCATATAACAACGAACCAACTACTTGGTTTTGTTTTTTAAGCCTAAATAAATCCAATATAATATAGTATAATAATAGTAATTCCACACTATCCTTTCCTTTACAATTCCCTTTGAAAATGAAACACAATTAATTTTATTTCATTCACAATAATTGTTTATTATAATTTGTTAATAGTTAGGGTGTAATTTTCAATATAGGATAGCTCCCTCCCTCAGAGACGCTATCCCTTGTTGTTTTTTTAAGTGTCTGTGCAACTCGCTTTAAAATTGCTTTGTATTTTTCGTATTATTGATGTGTTCGATAATGGATCTCGTGCTAAAAAAAAAAAACATATATAGAGAAGAAAACAAACAATGTTGATCTTAATTATGAACATGACTTTATGGCAGGCCCCGAATCCTTTCGATTTCTTCAACATCTTGGGGGCTACGATTGCGCTACGATTGAGATGAATGAGCACTGACAAATCGGTATATAATATAGTAGTATAGTATATAGCTGTTTTAGATGCAAATACAAGCTTTGATAGGTGCTGGCCAATACAATTTCAAAGGTACACGCTACACATGATGATCCGATGATCCTCCTATTAGTTCATAACATTTCATTAAACTTTAAATTACAATTACGTTTCGATTTTGTAAAAAATTTGGTTTCATGCTTGCATTAGCCGAGCTTTATGTATAGATTATGTGCTATATATTTAGATATATATATGTATGTATATGTATATTGTATGCGTACGATAATTATATAATATAAATAATTACATAAAAAGTGTGTGTCTTTACCATGTATCGGAAAAAAAAAATACTTGCGCGCGATTTTGATTTTTGAAAAAAAAAAAAATAAAGGTTAAGAAACATTTACACTAGGAGGAGTAGTTAGGATCCAGGGAGTGTCTACTGACGCCGCACGGTGCGCTCCCTCTCCCTGCCGCTCTCCTCCCGTTGCAGGCTGCCGTGCCGTGGAGGCGAGGTGTTTCCCGTGGAGCCACTGCCGCCATTCAAAACTCGCGCTTTGCGTGACCTTTTGAACTTGGCCATGTCCTCGCCAAAGACGTCGCCCGTGCGCAGCGCCGAAATGAGGTCATCGAACTCGCCAGCCTTGTTGTCACCCTTGCCGGGCGAATCGCCGCTGGAGGAGCCCGACTTTAGGCCCAGATTCTTCGCCACGCTGCTCATCAGTCCGGTCTTGTTTTTGCGCTCGATGGTGCGCTTCTTCAGCTCCGCCTCCTGCTTGGCCCGCTTCTCCTCCTCCTCCTGGCGCCGGCGTAAGCTCTCGTTGTCGTGCCGCGCCTCCGCAAAGGAACCCAGGAACGAGTCGAAGATACCAAAGAACTCATCCGGCTGTAGCACCGAGCCGTCTTCGCCAAACAGACGCACGGCGCGATCGAAGCGCGTCTTCATATCCTGGAACTTGTCCTCCAGCTCCGCGAAACGCACCGATGCCTGGGCATGGAACTCCCGCATCACGGGCAGGAAGCGATCGCCCTGCTGGGCGGGCCCCGAACTCCGATGGAACTCGATCTCCCGGGCCACATCCGCCAGCCCTGTGCGCAGCATCTGTATATCCTTGTCCATCTCGCCCAGCGACACCTTGGAGGCTTCGCGCACATGCGGTATATCGTCCTCCAGCTTTAGCAGATCCTTGAACTTGCGCTCGATCACCTGGACGAGGTAGTGCAGCAGAGTGGTGCCCTTGGCGGCGCTCGACTTGGTATCCGCCAGTCGGTTCAGCGAAGCCAAGCGGAAACCAGAGGCATTGCCGCGAGCTCCGCGATTCATGTAGTTGCCTAAAGGACATGAAATTCATTAGAAAGGATAAAGGACTGAGAATCTTCAGGACCTACCCAATGCCAGCACCAGTTCCAAGAGCTTACGCAGCCTTCTGGATCTGGCCACCTCGCGGGAGGCCTCCATGACACTGGTAATCCTGGGAATCAGATCATTGACCGTCAGCATGAAGCGTTTCTTGTAGTGCAGGCTCTTCAAGCGCTGCTCATAGTGGGGGATCCTTGAAAGAAACTGGGTTAGAATCAAGTCTATATGTAGGTGAACCAAATACCAACTTGGAAATCTCGTAGAGAAACCGGTCAGCCCGTGCAAGCGACTCTATATCCTCGCTGTGCTCGTCCAGCAGGGCGCGCTCCTCCGCCGATGGCGTAAACTTCAGCAGTTGCTCCACCATGTCCAGAGCCAGCTGCTCGTTGCTGTCCATGGAGAGAATGGCTCTAAGGAGATGTAAAAAGGGTTTCATTATAAAACACAACTTATGGACACGGAAGGGTTTCAAAAGATTCAAAAGATCCTACTTGGATATCTCCATGTCGCTCATTTTCAGCTTGCTGAGCAGGATGGTGCAGTTCTGGGCGCGACGTCCATCGATGACCGACAATACTTTCTGTTTGGGCTTCTGGCCAGTGACACGCAGGTCCTCATAGGAGCCATCGGTGGTCTGGAAAGGAGATCTTTAAAATCAGGTTCTTAAGAGAAAGGACATCCTTATCCTTACGGAGACACCATTTTTTTGGTAGGCAGAGAAGAGCTTGTCTATCGATTCCAGTTCCATGTTGTTGTAGAGCTTGCTCTCGTCCAGCTCACTCCAGACAGTGCCCTGGAGCTTGGCATCCGGCAGCTTGGACCAGTTGAAGCTCTTCAGAGGATTGGTGGGCTGTGGCACATTCTTTTTGGGCATCTCCACCTTTGGTGGCGCAGGAGCTGCAGGATATCAGAGACTATTGGTTAGGAGAGATTCAAAAATCTAAAGAAACCCAGACCTACCCATAGTGGGGGCCATGCTGGGTGGCGGTGGAGGTGCTCCCGGACAAGGCGGTGGTGGTGGCGGCAGCATGGCCGGTGCCATGGGTGGCGGTGGCGGCGGCATGGCCTTGAGCATGGGCGGCGGTGGTGGCGGCGAAACGGCACCGTTGCAGCCCGTCAGTCCGGCCACCTTCTGGTCGTCGGGAATGCTTCCCTCCGTGACCAAGCGCTCCAGACGCGCCCGCTCCTGCTGCTCGCTGTGCAGACGATGCTGCAGATCCTCGGCCTTCATCTCGGCGGTCTGGGCCCGCTGCACCGCCTGCGAGTGCTGGGCGGACTCCTTTTCGAGGCGCTCGCGCATGCGAGCCAGTCCCGTCTCCAGATCCTCCTTCTCCTGCATGCGCAGGTCCAGTTCCTGCTCCTTCTTGGCCAGCCGCGACTGCACATCGAAGTTCTCGCGCTCCAGCTCGTCCGCCCGCTTGCGGGCCTGTGTCAATTGCTCCTCCTTGACCAGGAGGCGCACCAGCTTGGAGACATCGATCTGCAGGGGCGCCACGTCCGGATCATGAATGGGCGACTCGGCGGACAGCTTCAGCTGCTTGGTAGGATCGTCGGGATCGGGGATGAGGTCGCTGTTGGGACGCTGCTCCACCTGCAGCACAATCTGCTGGACGACGCGATCGAAGAGAAGCCAGTGCTCCGTACAGTGGCCAGTATCTGCAAGGATTAGGAGAGAATCATTAGAGAAACCTGACTTTTAATAGGAAATCCTTATAGTATCCTTACAGGGCAGCAGGAGCATGTGCTGGAGCATGGATAGCATGTGTGGGTAGGCGGGCGAGTGGCTCAGCTTGCGACGCAGCAGCTCGAACATGGAGCCAGCGCTCTTGGTGTCCACATGCTCCTCGTTGAAGCGGCGGGCGAACTCCTTTTCATCCTCGGCGCGCACCATTTCGAAGAAGTCCTTTAAACAGAAGGAGAGCATGAAATCGGTAATCCTTTAAAGAAATTCTAGAAGTACTCACCAAATGCCTGTCCAAAGTCTCGTTCTCGTGGGTCCTCAGCTTGTCGATGACCGGCTGGATGCCCAGCATGAGGAACTCGTATCTGAGATGCAGCCTAAACTCCAGATTCTCCTGGCCCGGCCCGTAGTTGAGGACCGCATTGACGAAGGACATTAGTGCCGTCTTCAGGTTGACGTTGTCCCGGTAGCCGTAGGTGGACCGGTCCAGGTCGTTGACGATGCTCTGAAAGCGAGTCCGTTCGGCGGCGAACTCCTGGAAGGTGAGCATGGCCTGCAGCACCTTCCGGTGTCCGCCCGGCACCAGGCACACCGCGCCCAGGATCTCCAGGGCGGCGATCTTGGTCCGGATGTTGTCGGCCACCAGCGACCGGGCTATGGTGTCGATGGCCGTCGGATGGGCCAGGACATGGGCCCGTCCCATCGAGTTGTTCATCAGCGCCTTGATGCACCCGATGAGGCTCGTGTGCAGCATGCTGTTGGTCACCCGGATGTCCAGCTGCCGGAGCAGATTGAGCAGCGCCGGCAACCCATCCAGCTCCACGAACCGGAGCACAAAGCTGTGCGTGGAGGTCCTCAGGGCGGTCTTCAAGGCATCCACGAAAGCGGCATGTCCGTCCAGACGGTTTCCGAGCTCATGGCTCGGCGAGTCCTCCGGCGATATATGCAGCTCCTTCAGCTTCTCGATGTAGTACTCCGCCGTGGGCGGCTGCATCACGGCCACCGCATCCGGACCCTCACCCGTCTCCAGCGGCAGCTTCCGGGAGCAGTAGATCTGCCACTTTTTCTGCGCCGGCAGGCTCAGCATGGCCTCCTTGTTGGGCGCCGTCAGATCCAGTTCTTCGACGAGTTCGGCGAACTTGGAGTCCAGTTCGTCCACCGAGGGCATGGTGGGTGTGAGGGTCTGGAGAGCTCCCTCCACCACGCAGATCTCCGGCGGCTCATCGTCCTGAAAAGCGAGAGGTAAGAGATCATGGTTATATATCTCTGATTCATCCAAGATTTCCAATCTTATTCCAGTCTGTAAGACTTCTCTAAAGGTATTACTTTGTTTTTAAAAAAAAGTCTCACTTTTGCAAAAAAGAAAGAAAGAGAATCGGAATTCTTGGGTTTCCTATATCTTGCAGTTTTGTTTATTTTTTTGGGTTGTCGGATGTCTGTCCACCTCCGTAACCCTTTCCCTTCCCACTGGCCTCCGACTCCAACCCATTCCCACTGCAATTCGAATTTATCGCCTCTTATGCAACTTCGTGCACAATTTGACAAATTCGCTGACATGGAGGCGGGGGACTACTTGAGGCATGGAGCTCGAAGCTTGGAGGCTTGAAGAGCTGGCTCCGATTTCGATTGGCAATTGGGTCGGTCGGGTGTCCCCGTCTGACACTGTTTCGCACGTGACTTTGTCCAGGTTTGTGGTTTTTGGGATATCAGTTCAATTAGAGTCGAGTATGGTGTCATTCCTAATCGTTAACTTGGCTAAGATCTTGTCTAGACTAGGTCCTCCCACTCAGTACTTTTGGTCCTTCGAGACTAAGGACTAGTATGGATCACTTACCTTAAAGCAGCCACACCAGGCCCTTCTGCCCCTGAAGACTGGCATCTTCTTCTTCTGCTGCTGCCTGTAGTGTTTCTGGAGAGGAGTCTCCCCACTACTGCCACCTCCTCCTCCTCCGGCTAGACTGCTTAGCGATTTCCGGAAGCCAAGACTGTTAGTGTTGCTGTTGCAGTTACTATTCCGGCCGCTGCTGCCGTTGTTGTTGTCAATGTCCTCTTTCAGGCCAAAGGGATAGCCAAAGGTGTAGCCTAGGATATTGTGGGTGTAGAAGGATCCAGCTCCACTGCCCAGTCCGTTCTCATGGTCGGACTGCGAATGAGTCTGCGGCTGCTGGTGTTGATTAGGGTTAATATTGTCGTTGCTGCCGCTGTTGCTGTTGCAGTTATCGCTGGTGTGTCCGTGACCGTGCCCGTGCCGTCCACTGTACTGATTCCAATAGCGATATAATCCGTGAAAGCAGTTGTAATCGCTGAGTAATCCCTTCCAGTGTTCAAAGTCGAACCGCTCCTGGAAGTTGTTCGACGAAGTGTCGCTGCCACCGTTGATGATGTTGCTAGTGCTGCTGATAGTGTTGCTACTCTGACTGCCAGTGTTCAAGGGATGACTATTGATGATGGTGGTGCCATTACCACTATTAGCACTACCAGTTATGGCCAATGTGGCTGTACTGGCCTGACTTAGGTCGCTGCAGCTGTTTAGGCTTGTGATGGATACCAGACTACTGTTGTTCTTGCTGTTGCTGTTGTAGGACTTGGTGTTGCCGCCAGAGGTGTTACTGTTAGTGTTATTGTTGTCACTGGTTATGGTTATCTTGGTCACTCCCACTCCACTGGAACTGGCTGGTGAAGGCTCTACAGGTAGGCCAACTCCTCCATTAATTGTTATACAATTGCCGTTGACGGTAGTCCCCGACTTGGGCTTCTCTAGGGTGCTCTCCGGCGTAGTCTGCAGTATCTCCGTATCCGTGCTGGCACTGTGCGTGTCCGGCTCATTGATGCACACAATGGGGCACGACTGTAGCGTCTGTAAGATAAGAATAAGAGACAAGAGTTAGTTTTAAGAACATTAAAGCCCACACACACACTCGGTGTGATTGCAGTCCTCGTTGACAAGACGAGGTGTCTGGCTCGACAAATGCCCGTCAGGTCTGCAAGTCTGCCAGCCAAGGTAACAGGCAATTGGCCAAAATAGAAAACCAAGTCATGGCAAGACAAATGCCATTGCAGTTGCCAAGTCAGTGAAGGGTGTTGACATGTCTATGCAATACCACATATAATTCCTAGCCATCTTGGCCAGTTAAAGCCAACACATTACCAATTAATTAGACTCTGTTCTTAACTCGCAAGAAACCCCACATTTCTCGGTACATTTCCAAATCTCCTCAGTTGACAGGCAGTCGTGGGTTTCTGTTTTTTTTTGTCAGCGCGTGGGTTTTTTTTTTTGGAAATAATAAATCCAAATCTATATGCAAGCGTATGCAGATATGTAACCAAAACAGAATTACAACTGTCATAAGTCGGCTATCCATGTTGCAACCACAATTGCCGCGAAACCCCCGAAATAAATTCACGTGGGAGAGAGGTATATGTATTACCATATAGACTGCATCAGGAGGTAGCTTTTGTTATGCAAATTTTGAATTGTTGAGCTGCAATTGCATTACCATTGCAAACCTAATAGTATCCCAGACCAGACCACACTCCACTCCACTCCATACTGATGATGGCTTATTAATTTGCTTTCATTACGACTCCAGTGAGTGGGGGAATCCGATTTGGAATGGCCATCGTATATCTCTCGTAGCTGGTATTCGGATTGAGTAATCTTACTTGTTTGCAGATCAATCAATCAATCAGCCGAAACAGGTTTCCACTTTGGATTCTGGCCACCTAAGGATTATAATTAACTGGCCAGCCAGCCAGCCAGAGTGTTAAAAATGTATTGATCTCTCAGCCGGATTGAAATGTAATTTGGCCAGCTTGGCGGCATATTTTATGGTCATTAACGGACCTCTCTAGCTGTGGGATTTCTTCTTAAAAAAAAGTCTTAAAGAGTCTTGAGAAGAAAATCCACTTGAAATGTTAATTCTGGTAATGAAGCACCTGCTCTAGATTCTGAGAAGAGTCTTGGAGTAGGCTTGGCTCTGCTTGGTTTCCCACCTTCACAGTTTTGGGTTCACCCACTAACCTAACCACCAACCTAACCCCCTGCTGGATCGTTTCCGATCTTGAAGCTTGTGTTCCAGTTGCCAACTGAAAGCCTGAATCTCAAATCTTGCAAATTGCAGCCAGCTGCTGTGACAGCGCCTCTGTCTCGTGTCTCCGAATCTCCGAATCTCTCAAGTCTCAGCGATAGAGCGCCTGCTGTCGTCGCCGTCAGAAATCAGGTCAATGCTTCAGCTCTAGTCTCGAGTCTCGAGATATTTGGTGTGTCTGTGTGTGTGGGCCAGGGCTCTGCTAATTAGAGCCACGTTTTTGGCCACTAAAGCATGGCTTTTGGCCACAATTACAGACTCAAGACTTGGCAATTAATGTGTATTTGTCGATTGATCAAAAAATAAACGAAAAACTAAATAAACTCTATAAACTCTTTAAAAAATTTAAGTTTGGAAACTTCTGTAGGCCAAATGGCGATTCCCGTGCATCCCGAAGCGTCGGTCGACCGCTGCCTCATCATATTCCACCTGGTAGAAGCCAATCAAGGTATAGAAGAAATCGACAAAGCCCTCCCAGATTCCCACGACCCTCTTCCGCAACCCTCTATTCTGCTTTGGTGGCTCCAGCCAGGGGGATTGGTTCAATTTGAGTTCCTCATTCTTGGGAGGATTGCAGATGCGAAGCCGGTGGCCGCACAGGATGATCTTCTCGTTCTGCTCCAGGGCACGCTCCCATTCGATCGGATGCGAGTACTGGAGATTGAGCCCCTGGCGTGTCCACTTCTTGTCGAGGATGGTGCCGACGCTGCTCATCGCCTCCACGATCAAGTGTGTTATCAGGGGCTGCTTGGGAAAGGTGGTGACCACCACCCAGTTGTTCTGGCTAACCTGGACATCCGGATCCACGTCATTTAGGACACGATGTGACTCTGGTTCAGGTGGCTGGTAGACGGCGTGCTCGTCGAGGCGCTGCAGCTCCCTGAGACTCACTACTGGCGGATCATCAATGTAAAATTCTCCACTAAAGTATGGCATTTTCGAGACTTTTCTTTTTTTAACTTATTGGTTTTTTGTTCAAAAAATATATGAATTTGATGGGAAAATTTTAGAAGTCCAATGACTATGGGCGATGATTGAGAGAAAAGTAATTTTGTTACGAGGAATTTTGACTGACGAAAGGATATAAAGAATACTAGATGGGGGCTCTGGTGTTTTGATTTGGAAACTAAACAAAGGCCATCTTTGATTTGAATATTTGAAATAGTTTATTTGAAGCAGTTCCTATTCATCAAAGTCAGTATCATTTTAAATGATTTACCAACATTGGAGATAAGAGGAGTTGATCAAAACTAATTATGAACATAGTCCCTTTAACAACACTTTATAAATACCTCAACTAATATCTAAATTTCAGTCTTAATTTTCAAATCCTTAACTTAAGAATTTATTTTATATTTTTTTAAGATACCTGCATTTCCTGCATTTCCTGCATTACCTCTTCAGGCCATTACTCTTCAATTTCCTTTTCTGCCAATATCTTGATGCATTTTTCACACTTGCCTCTGCCACGCCCACCCTGCCCCAAAGTGCTTCCGAGTACACCCACCCACCCGGCAACGTAATAACTTCATAAGGCAATCCAAAAAGTGAAATGGAAAATGGAAAAATTGCGAATTGCGAATTTCAAAGTGTGGCAAATGGGTTGACGCTAACGCGACGCGACTTTGTGTGGCAGGAAGTGTTTTTCTACTGTCCCTCTCTCCCCTCTATGTATATATTTTTTTTTTTTTGGATTAATCCATAATTACCAAGCAGCTGCCCTTTTGCCAAAAAAAATCCATCAAGTGGCGCACAAAACACGGCCATGCTGCATCCAAAATGAAAATGAAAATGAAAAACTAGTTTTTCCGCATGCCACAAGAAAATAAAGAAAACATGTCGAAAGCCCGTGGCAGCTGCCAGCCAGAAAGCCAGAAACTTTTCCTTTTTGGCCAAAATGTCTCTCAGACATCAACATAAGCTCATCTTTACCCACTTTTTTTTTTGAGAGAGACAACTCAGGTGTGGATGGATGGATGGATGGATGGATGGTGGTTAATTATTGGTGCGTTCAGGTGAGGAGGCCGGCTTCCATCATAGGCGGTATCCAGGCGGCATCAATCATACGCAACGTTGGCCGCTTTCCTTGCCGCAACCACAAAAGACTACCGAGTGAGGTGGCATTTGGAATTGCAATTGCAACTTTTTTTTGGCCTCGTCGCACGGTCCAAAAATAGTCATTTTGACCAACTAACGAAAATGGCAATACGATGGAGGGAATTTCACAGGGGAGCTGGTTCACTTGGGTGCTCGACATTTAGCAAAAAAATAGTGTTTTTAGATAAAAGATAAGATTAGTTTTAGGTACTTGATGATGAGAGGAAAATTTTTTCAGATTCTTATCTCTAATAAAATGTAATTTCTTTTGAAAACAAAAACAGAAAAAACACGGAACCTGCATCCATGGGATACATGCTTCAGCGCTCACAGATACAGATACTTGGGAGCGTAAATTTGTTGGCACTATTACTTATTAGCTTCAGTAGCGACAAAACGAAAGCTAAAGCCAAGTTAAACCAAAGCTGAAAAAAATAACTAAAAACCAGCAGCAGGGGCAACAATAGCGCTGGACCGTGGCGAAGGTGTTGTAAGGTATTGTTTACAACCAACAACAAAAACAATAGCTATGAAAATTGAGTTAAACAACAGCTAAGCTAAAAAATAAAAAAAAAACCTTTAAAAAAAAAAAAAAAAAAAACAAAACAACAAAAAGTAAATGTAATCGAGTAATCAGGCATGCGGGTGTTAAAATTATATTGCACAAGTCCCTCACTATTACTACTACTACTACTAGTAACAACCTTTCCACCCACCCAACCACCTAAATCTCAGAGCCCCCATTGGCAGAAACTGTAACTGAAACCACCCAGGCACTCAACCACCTGTAAGGTGCAACAATGTTTCAATTATTTAATAAAAAATATTATGAGGCCTTTATAGGATGGTATTTTGAGATCTATAGATCAGGTATTAGAACTATAAGATCTCTTTTCTGAGATAAAACCCCAAAACATGTTCTCTAGACCACAAGTATTATATATCCTCAGATCTTATCCTAAAACTCTACAATTTAAAAACCAAAAATATTAAGACATGTCTTGTTTCTTGTTTCTTATTTTAGTTTTAGGTTTCCCTGACTTTTGCATTCTATGTTTTATTTTTTTCGGTATCTTAACTAATTTGGCCTGTTTCCCATTTTTGACTTCAAAAAGATACAAGTGAGTGGCTGAAGTGGCTGAAAATCGGAGACTCATTTACATTTCGGCCAAGTCTTTTTGGTCTTTTCGGTTTCTTGGCTTGCTAGTTGGTATTTTGGTTTATCTAACTTTTGATATTTTCTGGCCGAATAGGCGTCAGGTTGGGTGCCCCTCCTGTACCGACTCCCCTACCGCCCACTGGCTGAGAATTTATGGCCAAAAGTTCGAGCACCTCGAGCATGGTGGGTGCAGCCTCGAACAGTAGAGGACAGTACTGTAAGGCATAGTTTCCATTTAAATGAACAGAAAATCGGCTTAAATGCCACACTATACCATAGAGGGGGGATATGCAAAAGTGGAAGTGTTTCTACCTCCGTTCCAAAACCAAAAACGATGATCATCTCCTGCTGCGGGCATCTCAACTTTCACTGAAATCCGCCAATGAAGTTGTCGTTGTCCGAGGTTTTCGCTGTTTTTGTATTTTTTTTTAAAACACTTGTGCGGGATACAGGTTCATTGTAATACTTACAAGTCCAGGCCCTTTTGGTTTTTTGTTGATAATCATCATCATC